ATACTCATTGCTATTTCCCACGGTTGTTTTGGCTGGCTTCACGAATATCGATAACGTATTCAAATATGGCTATCTGGCTCCAGATAAATAATAGCCACAACAATAGCTGACGTTAATGAAATTTGTGTCGAATGCACAAACTGGGAAGTTGAAAGCACTGACTTTTACGTAACCTATGTTTGAGAACATCGATTTCCTCACATAACGTCATAATCATCCCTTTACCAGTTGGTAATGCTAATTTATAGTTTTTTGTAAGTAAAACGTCATCGTGAAGAGTTAATCGGCCTTCGAAGGCTCTCTCATGATAGCTGTGGATATATGCGAAAAGGGCAAGTTTTTGCCGTGTAAAAGGGCATTGCGAAAAATTTCCAGAAGCGTTAGCTTCTTCGGAAATGGCGGAAGTTCCTGACGAATTAATCCAGAAGGGACTTGTTAAGATGCTAAGCCAGTCCTGTCGTTTTCAGGTTTTGTGGGAAAACTTCATTAAAGAGGGAAGTTTCATGAAAGTGGAAGCTCCGACGTGATCCACTAAGGAGATTGTCTTTTTCTGATGGGACCATCCTCTTTTTTGATTACTGGTTTCTGGAACATTCTTTCCTCCTGAATACTTTTATCGCGATGTACCCAAGAACAAGCAATGCGCTGGTAAAGTTGAGAAGTGAAACACGGTCACTCCTTCCTTCCCCCCCCCCAACTCTTTTGGTCTCCAGTTGCTCACACAGTGGTCCCAAAAGCTACCTTTTATGTTTGAAAACTGGTCGGTAGGGGGTAAATATTGCTGCTGGGACGGTAGAAATCTAAATTCTTCTGAAATTTCTTTTATGTTGAGTACCACTAAATGAATTCATCTCACGGAAACCGCAAATACACCACCCACCTCCCCCCTACCTTAGCTTCCCCTCCCGTCGGATTTTTCCCAGTACATGATTTGAAGCCTAGCAGAGCCTTTTCTAATGGACCACTCAGGGTCAACCGTGCGTTGTGCAGTTCTCAACAAGGGGGGGGGTCGTATTTGTGTCGTTTTTGGGTGGGCGAGGTCGCTTTGTGGTTGGAGAAGGTCAAAAGGTAGAAGGAAGAGTCATCAGAGAAGGAAGAAGTGGGATGGATTAAGGGCTTTCCGTTTCTCCAGGATATATTCCATCCGCTCGACGGCCGCTTTGGAGGGAAAAGGTGTCCGGTGGTGGTAGGGGGTCGTGCTGGGATCTCCCCTAAGGGAGGGGATCGTAAAAATTTTGAATTCTGTGCAAGTCACAGTTGACTCTGGGTCCAATGGAGCCCCAGAGAGTTGTAGTAAGAGATAGTTGCATATGTGCAGTCTTGAATGAAAACGTACCCTCTGTTTCCCAAAACCAGGTGCTCGTCGAGTGCAGACCACACAATATAAGTGACGACGGCCTCCACAAAATGTAAATGTTTTTGCCAATGAAATGATTAGCCGGCTGCAGTGTACTCTATCAGTTATCACTGATTACAGCTATCACTTACTTACTATCATCTATCACTATGAACCACTACTTACAGCTTTTAACTTTAGCTTTTACTTACCAGCTTTTTTACTTGGAGCCCGTCGTCACTTGTAGTGTAGGGTCTGAACTCGACGCGCCCCTCTTTCTCGGAAACAGTGGGTATAAGCACGTAAAAACCAATGTAATGTGATGTGCTCCTTCGAAAGATCAGCCTTTGCGCCGTATTTCATGCAGGTTCTGATTATGTCTTTCATTTTTCAGAATCATTCACGAATCTGGTTTCACAGCTGAGGACTATAAACAGTATAAACCTGTCGTCTACAGTAATACGGTACAATCGCTAGTCGCTATACTTCGGGCTATGGCCAATCTTTCAGTACCGTTTGGCTCGTCAGATCGGGAGGTCAGTCTGATTCACAGTATTTTTGGTATGCTTCTTTTTTTTCGGAAATGTATTACATATTTTTGACCACTGTGTGTTTGTTATTTGATAGCAGTTGACCAGCAAGTGGCTAAATTTGACCATTTGTGCTCATTTGTCTGGCTACTGTGTCCAGATCCTCGTTGGGTGTTGTTGTCTGTGGGGGCAAGTTCGATTTCAAACACGAGTTTTCGAGGGGAAACGGCCCGGGCCGTCTTTCGCGGCTCATTGAGCATGACCTGATTACGGCCCAATCCCACACAGCCATTGACGTCAGCCGCTGTAACTCAAACTGAGAAGCTGACTGAGGAGATGGGTTATGTGTTACCCTATAAATAAAGCTGGACCGCCTTCTATGACGTTATCGCTCGTTTCAGAACGAATAATAGAAAGAAGCTGGTGTGATGTGATTGAAGCGCATTGCCTTAATGGGCAGAGTGCGTGAGCCAGCTGTGGTGGTCGTCGTGAGGCAGCGCGACGTCGTCGTGTGCGAACGGCGGACGGCGTAGACGGCGCGCGGCGACGAGCTGGACAGCCGACGGAGGGAGCGCGAGTGGTAGCTAGACGCCAGAGACGTGCGACCAGCACACGAGCAGCCTGCGAGAAACACCTCAATCGATCCTGACTGAGATCGGCCTCCGCAGCGGCGACGGCAGCGGTTGACTGACTAGCCTATGTAGATGGGAGCTCAGTGAGCATCTAGGCGGGGACCAGCTACGCATTGTGCTGAACCAGGCTTAGTTAAGGGGATTCAGGACTTAGAAACGTTAAACCACATCAGAGTGGGGGTGGAAATGGAGAATCAGTTCTGATGACCAGCTAAGCCAGGCTTAGGATAAGGAGATTTACACATTCTCCCGCAAGATTAGGAGAGGGAAGTTAGTGTCTAAAGCCTCCTTCAGCCTTCTCTGAAGAGGTGCAGCTCAAGAGTTGTTCCCCGTAGAGAGTCTGACTCTTGAAAAGCTGTAGGTTTGCGCCATGCTTCATTGATTTTGAAAAGAATGATATAATATAATTACCACGTAAATAAGTTAGGTCGAAGATCATCCGAATTTGACGGCTTCTCACAGTAATAAGGGCGCAACATGAGAAGATCGTTTCCCAGGACTTGCATCATAGCCCCCAGTTGAACCCGTGATGATGGAACAAAGAATGTTAAGGGATTCACCGGCGTGGATGTCCCTCGAAAAAAGTCCAATCTCTGCTTATGTAAATATTTGCAAGGCGGAAATCAAGCGAAAAGAAGGGGGTGATGTTGGGGTTGGAGCGTGGGAAATGACCGTGGGAAGCATTTGGGCACCAATTGTCATCCTTAAGAAATCTAAGTTTTATTGTTCATCACTGCTGGAAGAAGTCTCAT